TGCAGTATGTCTGCGGTATTCAACTGCAAAAACTTGACGCCCAGTCGTTGCCATTCCTCGGGAGTCGTGACCCAGAACTTCAGCTCAAAGTCCTCGTTCATAGACACCACGCCTTTGACTTTCTCTTGAGTTATCAACTGTTGTACGCAATCAGTGATCAGAAAGTTTAGACACAGTCTCTGTAATGGCATTATGAGTGGGACACAGACCTCGGATGTGATACTTCGGAAGGGAAGCGCTCCCAACACACAGTTATCATCGATTCGGTCGAACCATCTTCTGGTGGACACTCTGTTCATGAAGACATTGTACAGAAGTGTCGGATAGAAAGTCACTCTTCCGAACATATTCTTCCGGATCTGTTGAGTAAGTGGTGATCGCGTGGATGAAGGTCTCTCGTGGTGTGCGAGCGATGTATGGGAACCACTCGTATGGTGTGTCTGTGGATGTGTTGATCACTGAATGTTGTGAATGGTTTGCAAATCAATTCAAAACTTTTAGTGTCAAAGAAATAGTGACGAAGACATTGACGATATGGTGACCTAATAAAGTGATTGGATATCATTGACACTGGCCTATCACACGCATGTTCAGTACCTTTTCACGTTAGAACATCAATACGTTATGTGATCTAATAAGGGCCCGACTAAAAATAAACATTTTAACGGAAATACAGTATGTTTTAACTTGTATAGCCCATTGACTTTAATTAATTATTATTAATTTATTATGCAAAATAATCCATATATACAGAATAATTATTTATTTATTAAACAAAAACTTGCTAGATAATGTGTAATTTGCATAAAATGTATAATGCAATTCATTTATCCATTTAATTTCTTTACGTAAATAACTTTTAGTTAGTTTTTTACACCCCTTTGCCACCGAAACACGTTATGTCTGAACGACTCATTCAGTGTTTATGTCAAAAGTCCACAATTCAGTGAAAAAGTTGTTATCATTTTGAGGATAATTCTTGTGATCAAAGGTCTGACACCACTCTCGCAATCAGTTTGAGATTTGTTTGGAGTATAAATTGAGTACAAAATCACTTCATAGGAGACGACAATCCATGGGTTCCTTAAGAATACTCGTCGGCTGTAAGCGAGTCATCGATTACGCCGTGAAGGTAGGGATCAGTTGTCTTCAGCCCTTCACCCATCACTTGTAGCCCATTATGGACTCAATGGTTGTCTAATCCAATGCCCAGATTCGTGTGAAACCGGACAAGAGGGGAGTGATCACCGAAGGGGTCAAACACTCGCTGAATCCGTTCGACGAGATCGCCGTCGAGGAGGCGGTGCGGCTGAAGGAGAAGAAGTTGGCCGCAGAGATAGTGGCCGTAA